AACATCAGGTGTTTTTTCCTAGCCACTGTGTTTGATGTTCAAGCTGTCCCCTCTTTAGGAGCATTACGCCTTTTCCACATATAGGAACATCTTAATGGCTCCACGTCATTCAGATTTTAGCCTCTGCTTTTATTTTTGCCCATCTTAGTACCACCCCCACCCCCTATCCCGTTAGTTTGCTTTCAGTATAAACTACGGGGTCTAGTGGGTGTGCCAGGAAGCCAGCAGCCTATAGTGGTTTTCAGTTCCCGCTGAAATTGCCTTTCAGCTGCCAGCGGACAAATAGCTGCTTTATGTTCATGTGTGCTCTAGAAGCAGTAAGCAGAAATTCTTCAAGCTCAAATGTGATATTTTACTTTCAGCGAAGAAACCCAAAGCGGCAGCCCAGACTGGACTTAACAAAGTCACACACAGCATTTGAATAAATACTGAACCTGAGGTTCCATAGTGCAATGATTAGAACTCTGGACTCTGAATAAATACTGGGGTATGTTTTGTCAGAAAGGCAAATGAAACAAAATGGCTCCTAAACCACTCAATAGTCAAAGTAAAATATATTCTGAATCGTGTCAGGATAAACCCCAGCTGCGAGGTACTCTAAAGAGTAGTGTGCTTCTCCCAGGCAGTTCAGTGAGCTAGCTCTCCTAAACACTGGGCGAGATACTACCCACATATTCAGTCCCAGACATCCCACACCTTGGCCACGACTCTAGCTTCCTGTATCCCCACATTCCTCCCGCCCCAGTCCAGACAATCTGCAGTTAGACACCTGCTGCATAAACAGCTAAGTCCTTTTGCACTATCAGTTAACTACTTATCTATATAGTTGCCACTGTACGTCTCAGGCAAATTTCAAGTTTTTCTCTATCACAACTTCAACCATTTCAACCCAGACAAGGATGAGGTGACTCTCGGTTAAAAGGAGAAAGTGGTTCTCCCGTTTCAAGCTATCAAAATTAAGTAGTCTAAGTTCTCTTTCTCACTTTCCAACCACCATGAACCACCTGGCACTGGATTTCTATAACCTTTTTTATCTGCTCATCCTCACCAAGTAAAAAGTTAGTGATACTAAGGGATTTATAAACCTCATGAGGAGTAGTAGTATTCAAAGTGGAGGAAATAAATTCAGAAGTTTCAAAAGTATTAGAGCGCCAGCATGTATCAAGTTTGCTTCAGAATTCACTGTTTGTAATTTTATTCCAATCTGACTCAGGAAGAAATATCTTGTGGTACATGTAGATTCTAACTTTTCGAAGCACAAAAATACACACAAGGCAGTCTTAACCTCCCGAGCCCAGCTTCACTGGCGTGTCAGAGGCATGCCACTAATGGGATAGTGGTAGAGAGCCAACGTTTCTTTAAATAAGTCACTTTCCCACTATAAACAGACAGTGTCTCCATTTGTCTGCTAAGTCTACAACTCAAAACTGATCCAGAACACTAGCTGAAAATGAAGTACCCTGACTGGAGGGTAAGCAACAAGGCAGAAGCTTTTCATTTTTCATGATGAGGAAATAACCTAGTTTAGGATGGGGAAAAGGGGGCATGGTGCTACGCTTAGGAAGCTACCTGAAAAAGTCTCTGCCAATTCCAAGCTAACCACAGCAAGCAGTTCTTGGCTTTGCCACGCTCCTCTATCATTTCTTCTTTCTATGCTTGCTCATGGAGACTTGTTTATGAAACAAATGCTTCTTTCCAAAGGAGCTAGGGGCCAGGCCAACGTGACTCAGTGGCCTGGGAGG